TTTCAGAAAAAAAGAAAGCTGGGAAAGAATACAAGACAACCTTCTGACTGCCTGCAGAAATGCTAAGATCAAGTGGACCAGGTATTTTTTTTTTTATGTAATAAGCATGAACAAAGGACTAGTAAAATTAGGCCAGTTTAATACAGGTTAAAGACTCCAGATTAGACTAGAGTTCTTAAAAGATTCTTGATGGATCAAAACATTTCAGGGAAGAAAATAAAACGTCTTTTTAGTTTTATATTCTAGTATATGTTAATGGAAAGCTTTAACATGTCTTTATATAATAACAAACAAACCTGGATTCATTTTGTCCATGCTTTTACATCCAAATGTAATGGCATCTAAACAGTAGCAAGCATTATGAGGTCACCAATTTTACAATAGCATCATTCATAAAATTTCAATAATTTATCATTATATCAGTGTATAATATTTTATCTATAGTCTGTAGTTATCTATAACTATGAAGCAGGAGCTCTTCCTTTAGCTTGGGGATGTATTGGATAACTAAACATAACACATTCCAAAAAAAAAAAAAAAATCATAAAACATGATACTTGGCTTTTTCATGTAAGCATTGCCATTTGTATAGCAAACCACTATGGCAAGTTCTGAAAATCATATACTGCCATTTGTTCCCTTTTCTACTCAGCAAAACATTACCATGGAAAATCACAGTTTGTAGATTCAGATTTTTATCCTATTTAAGGGTTCCTGTATCTGTTCCTCACAGACACTGACCTTTCAATTGAATTTCAGCAAACTCTTTATCTGTTGTACATTTATACCAGCCATATGTGGTCATTGAACTCTTCCCCTTTGCCCCATTTCTCAACTTAAATTTCTGGGTCCGATCTCAGTCTCTCTGTAAGAATATCTGTACTTCCCTCTCAGCCTTTCTCACACGCATTGCTATTAACTCGGACCTTTCCATTTCCCTTTCATAGTCAATCTCTCACTAAAAATTTTCATTGTTTTCCTCTATATTCCCATTAAAATCTACTCTTTGCTCTCTATTGTTTAAATAATCATCCCAACATTGGGAATAATCTAGTGATGTTCCTAACTGTACACACATGAAAGAACAAGCGTTAAAAAGAAGTCTGAAAAGGAGCAACTTGAAAATTCACATTCCAGCTATGCAAATCCCATCTGCCCAAGCAAATAGTAATAATGATTGCAAAGAAATAAGAGCCTCCCAGTGCAAATGTGCAGATAATAGTTGCACATGCAGAAATCAGTCTAGGAAATTACTCTTGAAACATAAAAGGCAATTTATGATACTGCTCTCCCTGCAAAAAGCACAAGCTTTAATCCCTGCTGTATGCTGGGTACATTCATGCCAGTCCGACATAGTCCTCAACTATGTCCAGCACAGCATTTTGAAACTGCACTTAGCCTTGTAATTAAGTTCACTTCTCATTCACAGTGTGTGGAAAAAAGCCAGGGCTCAAGGGCAGGTGAGGTGACTTTTGGAACGCACCACAAAAGCCCCTGAGGTCTGTGCTCTTGCGTAGCACAACCCTACCCACCTCGAGGCATTACATCACTGTGAAGACTGATGAAATGTGGTTACAGGATCCTTCGAAGAAGGATCGTGATAACGCCACTTTTAAGGATAAATAGTATTAGTAAATTCAGACTGCCTTCATAAGACGAGTGTGCTTTTCGCCAGCCCACGCCCTTGTCCACAACTAGTAATTTGGATACTGAGAGCTTCCCAATAAAACGCTTTAAGTAAGTTCATCTTGGTCCATGGGTAACACCACAGAGTCAAGGTAGATATAGCTGCATTAATTTCAGTCACTTCAATCAGCTTTTATTCACCCAGTTAAGAGAGATTTATTTTGAAGTGCAGCAAATTATCTGTTACCGAAGCATTAAAACACTTTGTGATTTGTACTGCAGTCAGAAAAATCAAGAAAATCTAAATATATGAGTTGGTGTACTGCCTGGAAGCTCATCTGGAAACAACCTCAAGAGCAAAATTAAGATAAGCTCAAAGAAGCAAACACTGAAATATTTTTCTAAGGTAAAACCAAGTCAGTTACTCTCACTAGATGAAGATATACTACTAGCAATTATATTCATTCCCAATCTATGAGGAAAAATATATAAATATATGCATTATGTGGATATTAAGCATTTGGAAAAGGTAATTTCAAAAAAAAAAGAGTTTTTAAATGTATGTTAGTGTTATCTTATGCTGGGGGAACCATAAGATTGTTTGACAGCACTTCTACATATTAATTTGCAAGAATAGTACAATGATAAGAGACGTTTTAATACTGATGCAAGTATATATATAAAATAGTATTATACTATTATGTAAGATTAATCATTTCTAATGCTTTAGAGAA